TTCATGTGAAGCAGTCACAGGCTCTGTACTTGGTTTCTGCTGGGATCTTGTCATTGGGACTTGCTTTTTGACATGGAGAGTGGGACCAGTGACTACATGTCCTTCAGTGCTTGGAGCTCCCAGTTGTTTGAACTTCTCCGTGGGACCATGTCAGACCCAACCCCTCTCTATGTCCCCCTCTCACCCACACACTGAGCAAAGGGTCCCAAGACTCCCTGAGCTGTAATTGTTCTTTGTTTTCAAACCCCGCAGTGTACCTCAGTCTCAACAGGCCCTCTCAATTGCATCTTGTATAGCTCTCAGACATGAGGGTGCAACAGAATGTCCTTCACTGAGGCTAGTCTTCCACACCAAAGCAGTCACTGTTTAACCAAACCCCCTCGGGGGTGTCAGTTCATTCTGCAACAGAACTGCTGGTCTCTTTCCAGGACTGTCTGACTTACCTTCTGATTGGGTCTTCAACTTCCCCTTCTCCGTCCCCTTGAGGGAAACCAGACACTGGGATTGAGGCTGGTTTCTGCTTTTGTTGGCTGCTCCTGTTTCTCCATGCTTTTCTGTCATCCTGCTACTTCTTTGCGATTCCTGATGCTCTTCCCCTCTGTCTCTCTTCAGAATATAGTCTCTCCTGTGTTACCTGACTCTTCTCATTAATGGAATCCAAATGGTGGACACTTCTAATCTGTCATCTTGAAATTCTGACAGATATTGAATGTATAAAAGGTTTGGGATATTACCCTTTTACTGATTACTGAGCCTACTGATTCATAAATATAGGATGGTTTTTCCATTTATTTAAATCTTTATCTTCTTCAAGGAAGGTTTGTAATTTTCAGAGTAACTTTTGTAATTTTCTTTCCAGATTTATTGCCATGTATTCATTCTTTGGGTGCTAATTTGAATGTATGGTTTGTTAATTGTATTTCACATATTTTATTGTAAATGTATAGAAACACGATTTAAAAAAAAAAGAATTCACATTCTCTTTAGGAGATTAAGTAGCTCAAACCAAATTACTAAAACAAGCTCAGTAAACAGGGCTGAACCCAATTCATTTACTTGATATAGTGAGCAAAACTGTGGCCTGAAACACCAAACATGGTAAAAACATAAAAGAACATAAAATTATCCAAAAGTTCCTAAAATTTAACTGGAGGCCTGGCTCAAGTGGTAAAGCGCTTACCTTGCAAGCATTAAACCCTGAATTCAAAACCCAGTACTGTTAAAAAAAATCATTAAAATTTGAATCACACCGGCTAACCCAGTAAGTCTGTGCATAGGAGTGTATGATACTGGTAAACCTGTGGAATTACTGAGGCCTGCTTCAAACAGCTGCACTGAAGCATCTTGCTAGCAAGTTATGACATATTTAATATCATTCCATTTCATCTGGGATATCTACTTAAAGAATATGTCTTTTTATATCACATATACCACAGAAAAAATACAATAAATGTGTCTATGCACACACAGAAAATAGACGATTTGTGGCTATAGACATAGAAAATGTTAAACGGGCCTGACTGAGCCAAGTAGGGATGGCCCTGAGACTAATTTGAAACCTACTAGTTGAGTTTATAACAAAGCCAGTACTGCTTTTACTCACTTTTGTGTTTATTTCAAGAGAAGAAGTTGCTATTTGCCGGGTGCCGGTGGTCACGCCTATAATCCTAGCTACTCAGGAGCAGAGATCAGGGGGATCGCGGTTGGAAGCTAGACCAGGCAAATAGTTCATGAGAACTTATCTCGAAAATACCCTTCACAAAAATAGGGCTGGTGGAGTGGCTCAAGGTGAAGGCCCTGAGTTTAAGCCCCAGTACCTCAAGAAAAAAAAAAAAAAGGTTGCTATTTATGCATCAACCTCTAAAAAAAGGTGATATGCACGTTAGGAAGGAAGATGGAAAAACTATTTGAGATACCTCGTTTGATTCTATACAAACACTGGCATTTAAGAGGGACACCTTAAACCTCACTGTGAATACAACATATCATTTTTTCCTGCTTTCTTGTTGTTTCTTTTGTTTTGTTCTGTGGTTTTGGTGGCACTAGAGAACTCAGGGCCTCACGATTGCTAGGCCCTTGAGTTTTCCACCAGCTTTCCTGCTTTCTTTAGATTTAGATGCCAGCAAGTTACAACAAATTAATATGATCCCAGTTAGTGGATAATTTAGCAAAAAAAAAAAAATTATTTAAAACAAATCTTATATTTGTAACAGTGTACTAAATATTTTTATTTATGCTATTTTTTTCTTTTCTTTTTTTAAAATTAGTGTATATTAATTGTACAAAGGGGTTTCATTGTGGCATGTCCATACATGCACACAATGTGCTTTGACCATATTCACCCATTACTCTTTCTTATTCCCCTTCCTTTTTTAACAAGCAGGTATGTTTGAATAACCCACTAAAAAGTTTAAACAGTAAAAAACTGGAACTCTAACTAATTAGATAAGGATAAAACTTTTCAAAGTTAGGGCCTGACCAGTGTTTTCATTCTTTCCCTCTGTATATCCCTACCTTCCATCCACTGGGATAGCAAATAACTTACTATGAACCAGACACTGTGCTATGATTTTTGCATCGAGTGTCTCATTTAATTTTTGAAATAATTCTATAAAAGTTATTATCCTGTTTAAAGATAACTGTAAAAATTTCTATTTTCCAAAGATGGCAGCCTCTACATGCAAGCCATCCCACGCAGGCTCTTTTTACAGTGAGTCTTGGTCCTCTACTTAAAGGTGGAATCTGTGCTCTTTCCTTAAATCTGGGAGGCTGTAGAAGTGACGTTATGCCATTCTGAAAAAAAAAAACCCTCACAAAAAAGGGATGGTGGAGTGCCTCAAGGTATAGGCCCTAGTTCAAGTCCCAGTACTGCACAAAAAAGGTCAGTAATGGATTTGAAGCTGCCTTGTCTGCAGCTCCAAAGTCCACACTCCTAACAAGTGCACTGTGGGATGCCTTGCTCCCTACTATGAAAATGATGCAAAATAAAAGGAAAGACATTGAAGAACACTCTACAGAATGGTCAATGCATCCCTAACACGTAGGCACCTGGGAACAAGTAAGAAAGCATACCTAGACCAACACTATAATCTATCATGCCCAGCCCCAGTCTTTAACCCCAAACTAAAAGTCCAATTTGGCCATTTCTCACTCTGCTTGTTCATTCTACTTTCATGAATTGTCTCTGTGATTTCCTCTTCTGAAATGTTTTCTATGTGTGAAGTATTTAATTAATGGTTAGGACTTAAACCAGGGGGATAAAGGGTTACACCAAGTAATTGAAAACTACCAAATGACCATCTAAAAGAATGTATTAAATAATATCTAATATACAAAGACAGGTAGCCTTTCAACAAATTTCAGGTTTTCACTTTATCACTTAAATTAAGCACATTCACTTTTCTTTGTTTTATGAGCACCATTTGCTTTTGGGGAGGCACATTGTCACAAAAATAAGGGCAGGAGAACACTCAGCAGATCACAGAACAATTTAAACACAAAAGAGGCTAACGTAGGACTGACTGAGAGCGGCTCTGCATCCACTGAGCTGAGGAATTCCAGCAGGATTTTTTTTTTACCCCACTTGGTGAAAATCAGGTGTAATATACATGTAAGTAAGGCAGGCTTACTGTATTGTAGCAATCTTAGGTTTCCTGAAAATGTTATGTGATATGTGTATATTATATAGATAGTACGTGTATTAGCACAGCCGTGTGTTAATATGGGGTTGTGTAGGTGAATGCCCTTGTACTTTAAGCAGATACTTACAGAATGCTGAATTATTGTGGTGAAATGCCATAATGTCTACAGCTATCTCAGTGAAAATAAGTAGAGAGAAAGAACATCAGAGTGAAAGTGAGCACACAGAGAAGGTGAAACGGTGCATTAGGTGAAGTGTTCATCAGTACTCAGTGTGACTCTTGCAACTTTTCTGTACAATTGAACACTTCCAAATTAAATACTTGGAAAAGAGAGAAGGAGGTGTCCCAAATAACATATACACATGTAAGTAAATGTAAAAACGATAAAAAAAAACTTGGAAAGGAAAAAGGAATATAATACAAAATATGTGTCTGTAAGTGCACATGCCATAGGTAGAAGTGTAAATCTTTTGTAGGTCTACTAATGACGCTTTGTAGCGCCTTAGTGAAAAGGATAAACATGTAAACAATACCCAATAGAAGAAAATAAAAATGCCTTGTAAAGGATGAAAGAGATAACATTTTAAATATGGCATGCAATTTACAACATATAAATTGCTACCTGACAAGGATCTAATGCAAATTTAACATTGTAACTACACTAACATAATTTAATCTGCATAGCAAAGAAGATTGGAATTTTTCTGCACTGCTGGCTAACAACTATAAACGACAATTATATCGATATACGACATAACGACAGTTATGGTTAAAAAAAAAAACAACTAACCATTCTAGTTGCTTGCTTTTTGATTGTCTATAACTCACAAATCCAGCCATAGGTAAACATTTTTAACCCGTTACATTTTCTAGGTTGACTACCTCACTTCCCAACTTCTAAATCACCATATTTAATTCACTGAAACGGCTTCGAAGCTCCTATAAAAACACTACTACTCGACTCAGAAAATAAAACACACAGCCCAGCTGTCCTCTCGAAGGTACACCAAACCCATGCCATTAGGGTGCTCAATACTTGCTGCCGAAACTCCAAGAAAAAAAAAAATTTCAGATTCACCATATTTTTTAAAAAGAAAAAACAAAAAACAAAAAAACCCCCACTCAACTCCAAACTCCAACATGACAACCTTGCACCAATAGATGCCCGAGCGGGACTCAGGTGGGCGCTCTGAGTCCCCAAAGTCCCCACCCCAATCAGCCCAGTCCCGCACCCTCGAGCTCCCCAGGGGCGCCGGCTCTGGACGGCGGAGGGGCTGGGGTCCCACACGCGGTCACCAAGGGCGACGACAACCCATAAGGCCCCTTCCTACCCTCAGCCCCCTCCCCGGTCCCACTCACTCTTCATCCTGGATGCGGATGCCGGCGACAACCCCTTGCTGACCCTAAACGGAAAAGAAGAGGGCAGGAAGGGTGGCACCCTGCCTTCAACCTCCCTGAGGCCGGGTCAGGCGCGAGGACCTCCACGATGGCCCCTCGCTGGAGAGCGTTAGGATTCCGCCGCCATATTGTATTCCTGTCACCCTAGCAACCGTCAGGTCCTGACCACCCTGAGGCAGGCTTCTGCGCGTGCGCAAAGTGAACTATGCATGTACGCATGCGTATTGTCGCCCGCCAGTTCAGCCTGGTTGCTGAGCAACCCATCTCGCTGCTTTAAATTTAAATGCAATTCCCGACTTCGTGAGTGGGCGACCTTCACAGGCCCTCTCTTCCCAGCTAACCTGATAATCTAGCGATTTGGAGCCTAATGTATGAATAATAATCTTGAGCCTTAACTGGTTCGTGAGCTGTAAGGCTAATTGACACCTATTTTTTTCCATCTCATCCTACAATTGAGATTGTACCAGTCTGATACATAGTGATTACTCAGTAAATTTGTAAATTTTTTTTTTTTCCATACTGGAGTTTGAATTTAGGGCCTACACCTTGAGCCACTCCACCAGCCCTTTTTTGTGAAGGGTTTTTTCGAGATAGGGTCTCACGAACTGTTTGCCCGGGTTGGCTTCTAACCATCTTCCTCCTGATCTCTGCCTCCTGAGTAGGTAGGATTACAGGCGTGAGCCACTGGCGCCTGGCTTAAGTTTTTCTTTTTAAAATAAATGCCAACATTTCTTTTGCACCAGGCACTGTTCCAGGCATTAGGGAAATAAAGGAGAATAGTGCAGACAAGGTTCCTGACTTCTTGAAACTGACATTCTATTGTAAAGTTGAATGAATGAATATATGAATAAACTATGCAAAATCAATGACTGAGCAACACAGTGGCCTAGCCCTGGAGACATCAAAATGCAGTAAAATGGCCCATCTACTTTGAAATTTTTCACTTATTTCTCAAAGATTAAGGCAAAATTCACAGAACATAGAATGAAACAACTTTAAAATTTAGCCGGGCATCAGTGACTCGTGCCTGTAATCCTAGCTAGTTGGGAGGCTGAGATTGGGAGGATCACAGTTCAAAGCCAACCTGGGCAAATAGTTCGAAAGGCTCCCCTGCCCCCTCCAAAATAATCAGAGCAAAAATATACTGGAGGTGTGGCTCCAGTATATAGAGCACCTGCTTTGCAAGTGCAAAGCCCTGAGTTCAAATCCCAGTCCCAGCAAAAAAAGAGTAGCATTTAGTACATTCACAATGTTGTGCAACTATCATCTCTATCTTGATCCAAAATATTTTCACCAACCTAAAATAAGCCCACACCCATGAAGTAGTCTTAAAAATCTTACGCAAAAAAAAAAAATTAATTAAAAAAAAATCTTACACTAGCTGAGTGTAGTAGCCATGCCTGTAATCCGAGCACTCAGTAGGTGGAGGCAGGAGGATCAGAGCCTGGACTACATAGGAAAACCCTGTCTCAAAAACAAACAAAGCCTTATGCTAAGTGAAAGAGGCCAGACACAAACAGCCATATATTATATGACTCCATTTACAGGAAATGTCCAGGGTGGGCAAATCTGCAGAGGCAGAGATTAAGTTATGGTTATGGGCAGGGGAGACAAGGCACTGGAGAAGTGGGGAAATGAGGACTGTCTTCAACAGGTATGGGGGTTCTTATGGGGGTGATGACAATGTTCTGTAATTAGATGGTGGCAAAGATTGTACAATTTTTTTGAGGGACCTAAAAACTGCTGAATTGTTCATGTTAAAAATGATTAGAATGATTCATGTTACGTGAATTTTTATCTCAGTAAGATAAATTGAAAAAAATAGGTGGTTCTTGCTGCTGTTACTGTCAGTGGTGCTGTCTTGGGTCTAAGAAGCTGCATCTCATTCCTCCGGACCACTGAGATGTGATCTGTCCCTTCTTATCTCCAGTAGTCTTTCCCCTTATTTTGTGACTTGCCCTTTTGTCACATTTATTTATTTATTTATTTGCAAAGATTTATTTTAGTATAATAGGATAAAGTTTAGACGGGGGGTGGGGAGGAGTGAAGTGGATTTTCTGCTCACCTTCAATGTGGGCAAGTGATTTTTAGAAGAGAAACTGGAAAACAAGACCATGCTGGTTCTGTCTGCCAGAGGATTTAGAGGAGCAAGGCGCTCCCCCCAGTGGAGGGACTCAGCCTTTGCTGCTTACCTGGGTGAGCAGGGATACTAGAGTGTAGCCCTCACCTGCAGTCTCCACCAAGAAAACCCAAGGCCCTGGGTGGGGAGGACCACCTCCAGAATGGAAAACCAAAAGTCCTCCTCCACCCCCAGAGTTTTTGAATCATTACGAGTGTGGATGAAGTTCAAGGCCTTGTGTCTCCAGCAAGATCCTGGGGGCTGCTGCACCAGCGACCGTATTTTGAGAACCCCTGGCCCAGGTAATTCTTTATCTTCCCTTAATTCTAATTGAAATAGGAGATGCTGCCTCATGAGGAAAGAATGATTGCTGGGGACTTGTCTCTCAAGTCAGCCGTCTTAGGTTTCAGCTGTGTGGCCTAGCTATCTGCTTAATTGGACCCCTCCTGTCCTGAATAGACAGACAAGGACTATAGACTAATGATATATTCTTGCATACCCAGTGCACACAAAGCAGTGGGTTAGCATATGTGACACTCAAAGAGATGCTTCTGAAGTGGACCCATCCTGAGTCTGGAAGCTCCACCTAGAAATTTGTACAGCCCTAGCTAATTACAGCCCCTGGAGCTTTTTCACTCATCTTAAAACTCCTCCTCAGATTGTTCATCCTATATCCTAGTGTTAGCGTTTCCCTATTTTCCAGTGTCAAGGGATTCGGCCTGTTTAGCAGACAACGTGCTTTCTTTGGCTGAGAATTTTTTTTAGTTTCTTATTAGTATATAATAGTTGTACATGGGAGATACATTGTGACATTTACCTATGTGCTTATGGTATATCTTAATTGGATTCACCCCCTCAGCTGAACATCTTAATTAAAGTACAAACCAGGAAATAGGCAGGAGTTAGCAAGATAAATGAGATATTTCAAACATGTTGACACTGATAAGGTGGGTGAAGCGCCAGTTACCTAAGGGTATTTGAAGTTAGAATCACTTTGAACAATAATAAATATCTCAGAAAAAACAAAGCTTCACATGGAGATATGGCAGAAGGAGGAGCAAAAAACATGAGCCACTCAAATGAATATGAAGAATAACAGTTAACCTAACCTGCTAATGAGACTACAGTCCAGTGTAGATGTGAAAAATAGATAAAATTCAGTCTTGGAAAGGAAGTCGGTGCAGGTCTCTGAGAAAAAGGCACTCAGAAACATATACTTAGAATTTTTTTTAAAGTGGAAGAAAAGTTTTCCTGAAAAGAGTAGAAGAGATCTAGGTGGCTCATGCCTGTAATCCTAGCTCAGGAGGCAGAGATCAGGAGGATCACAGTTTGAAGCCAGCTAAAGCAAATAGTTCTCGAGATACTATCTCGAAAAACCCTTCACAAAAAAAGGGCTGGTGGAGTGGCTCAAGGTGTGGGCTCTGAGTTCAATCCTCAGTGCTGCAAAAAAAAAAAAAAAGTAAAAGAGATTAAAATTCAGTTCTTAGCTGGGCACTGGTGGCACATGCCTGTAACCCTAGCTACAGGAAGCAGAGATCAGGAGGAGCATGGTATGAAACCAGCCCAGGGTAAACAGTTTGCAAGACCCTATCTCAAAAATACCCAATATAAAAAAGGAGAGCACCTGCCTTGAAAGTGTGAGGCCTTGAGTTCAAACCCCAGTACCACCAAAAAAAAAAGAAAAGTTTCAAATTCAGCTCATAAGATGGTAGGGGAGAGACTCACACCAGGTAACCCCAGTCAAGTTCCAATGCCAGTTTTCTTGTTTTTATAAAGAAGAGAATAAAATAACCACTTCAAGTGGCTGTAGTGAAGACTAAGTGAGATACCCTTAAAACGCCATACAAACGCTGGCTGGTCTTTGCCCACGGTCTAATGCAGGGCCTGGCACAGACCAGGTACTCAATGCATATTTGTTGGGTAACAAGAAGTATCAACTGTCACCTGCTCTGCCATCCTTTCTGCCTAGGGGCAGGTCTACGCTTTTAAGTGACTGTTGAGGGAGCAGGACAAGCTTTTCCCCTTGATACAACTAAAGAGACAGATGACAGAGGACTCTCCTGGCTTGGGTTACAGAAGCCATATAGCCTGTTGTTGGAGACCCAGAGGTAAAGGACTTTGTCAAGGTTACCAATCAATGGTGGCTCCCTGGGCTCAGGCTCCAGTCCACAGCTTCCAACTACCTGTACTTCTGTGGCTCCCCATGACATCCAAAAGAGACTCTGCAAAAGCTTTTCCCTAATGTACATGGTTTAGGGTAGGATATTTTTCAAATCAGTTGGTCCCTGGAACCAACTGATTTATTGTAGCAAATTAGAAGTAACATCTGAAAAATCCTCTGTTTCTCTATTTTTCTTTTGTATTATCTAACAGTTTTGACATAGTACATATTGTACAATGAAGTATTTAGTTCTTGATTCTTTTTTTTATGGTTTTGTTTTCCTTTTCTTTTTTTTCCCCCAGAATCAACAAGCAGGAATTCAGTTTTCATATTGAAAGTGTTCTGTGTCTGCGTGTGCCAGGCCTAGAGTCATAATTTTAAAAAAGTTAAAAGAAGGTTGGAAGGTAGTTCAAGAAAATTGATCAGGAGCTAGACAAAAGACAAAAGCATGGACCACAGAAGAGACAAGAAAATTGAGAATCCACACAGAAGGTCAGACCTCCGAAGAAGGAACAGTGTTCCAGAAAAAGAAATACGGAGGGAAAGAAATCATCAAATCTCCATCAGAAATGTTCTTTGCTAGAAGTGTTGCCAGCATGATCGGACAAAGTTACAAATCCACAGTCCTGAGGAATGGCCAGTGTGATGAACTGAACATTCCCTCAACACTCACTATGTGCTCACCACTCCTCTAGGCACCTGGATTCATGAATGAAAACGGCCCACAGCAAGGTGCATCTCCAGAGATTTTACAGCAACAGAAATAGTG